CAGATGATGCAGGGAACGTGACCACTAGTAGGAAAATTGGAAGAATATCAGTGGATATACTACTGTAGTTGTGCTCTTGCTATCTTGCCGATGATGGTGTTCTGGCAGGTCACACAGTTCTGGGTCCTGTTCCCTTTGTAAGGCTGCAGGGGATGAACACAGCCTTACCCACTAAAGGACAGAAGCAGGTATGCACTTGAACCTGATGTAAAACTGTCCCATTTACTCTAAATGCAAATTATCTGCCTGAGTTTTTGCATATGTACCCAGGGGTAACAGAGAGCAGACTGTGGCGTGTCTCCTATGACTCTTTTTTTAGTTTCGGGAGAAGATGATTAGATTTGACTATGTATTTTTGCTGTGCCCTGCACAGCAAGAGCATACCTCTATGTCCAGTGCAGTGCAGGAGAAAGGACAAACATCTCTGGAGCACCTGTGTTTGGTTTTGGTCAGTGGCTCACGTTTACTCCGCTGTTCCCTGGCTGTGCGGCGAGCGTGTGCTTCTCTTCTCCACCACAGGCACCGTGCTGGCACCTGGCAGGAGCACGCTCCTGCTGTCTTGGAGAGGGGTGGTTGGGATTTCCTTATGTTCAAAGTATATGGTTTCTTTTGCTTTCTTCTGCCTGTGGAAGATGGCAGGGATTGTTCCTCTCCAGGCAGGTGATTTTTGCTTGTGTTGTGTTTCCGTCTTCTGAACTCCCAGAAATCAATACCGCTCATAAAACGTGTTAACAGCCTTTAGTTCCCAAGGACTTACACATACACTGTTTTGTGGTGTTTTGTTTTTTTTTTTTTTTTTTTTTTTTCCTAGGCAGAGACCAACTAAGAGATTGTAATATAATGAGACAGACTGTATATAGTCTGTGTTCGCAGACTGTATATAGCCAAGAAACACTAAGGGTAGTCTCTCCATACCGTAACTGGCACATTTTCATGAAAACTTTACACTAATCAGCTTGCCCTAAGCGGTAGTTGCTGCGGGAAGGGGTATGCCACAGATTGCCAGACTGCAGAGGGACTATCAGTTCTCTGAGCTCGAGCAAGTTATCTCTCGGAGATTGTCAAAATATGTCTCAAAAATAACGAGCTCTCAAACCTCCCTTTCAGTTTATCTGCTCTCCGACAGTATTCTGCAAGCGGCTGGCTTATTTGCCATTGAAAGAGCTATGTTTCATGCTCCTCCTGACAGACTGCTATTTAAGGCTCTGCTTAGCATTCATATTTCTTTCTTGTCAGAGTTATTTTCTTTTTTCACTTGTTTTTTAGAACCAGAGCTATAAATCTGGGAAGCATTTTACATGCTGTGTTAGGGCTTGATTGAAATTCCATTGAAATCAATGAAAGCTTTCCTATTGACTTCAGCAGACCAGGCGCTTGGGAAATAAGGAAAAATGGTCTGTTTTAAATTAAGAAGAATTGTATCCATGTCATAATGTTTATCATCAAAAGCAGGGAATAAAACAAAACATATTATACATATCCTTTCCCGAAAGGCTTCCTATATCACTTAACTGCTACCTACATACACCCACCTGTGACATGGAGCGCAGCAACAGCTGTTCTGGGGTACTTAATAATTCTGCTTTCTAACCACAAATATCTGAGGAAAATGAAAATTTGTTGTCTGATTTATAGAAAAGTTCATATAAAATTGAAACTATGCAAAAGATAAACATCCAGCAGAAGCAAGTGTCACAGCCTGCTTCTGAAAAGCCAGAGGGAAAATCTCCCCTGTAGCCTCATTTTTACAAATTTCTCTGCAGGAAATATTGTTTTAATGACTCACACATTCTGTGGGTACTGTTAGGAAACCTTGATCTTCCCTTTTAATTTGTAGTAAAGCTTGCAGGTGAGACCTGGTTATCAAATGCACCGAGCCCCCCCCCCCAAAAAAAGGTAAATATTATGAAGATGTAACGAATGCTTCTGATACTTGTCTAGGTAATTAAATACAGATCCATGAGTCTGAAATGAAAGTGTGACATCTACATGTTACTTTGTCAGCGAAAGTACTACAGTCTGCTGATGAGCTAGTTATAATAAAGACAAGTCTCAAGTCTCCAAGGATTTTATGGAGACGTGAGGATGCTCAGGTCTTGTCAGAATGGCATTTGTACCTTGTATTCTCAACTAATATTGAAAATAATTACAGTTGTGGTATTGCAAAATGTAATTTTGCCAAGACAGTATTTAAAGCCTGAGTCAAACTTTCACATGCTGACGAGGAAAAAAGGAAGCGATGCGGAGAAGTCTCTGAAGTGCATGCAAAAACAAGTGCTGCTTTAACGATGAAGTATTTGATAGTGCCTTTTTATCAGTGTGCAGTCATGTGTTTAAATAGCATGAGCCAGAGATGACTGTTGCAGCTTGTCATTTGCCTTATGGGAGGCAAGAAAGAGCTTCTTGTTTGATTTGTAAGATGAGCGAGCTTGTTGCACAAGGCAACAGAGAAGACTCTGTACAGAACTCCATAGTGAAGTATTTCCTAAGCTTTTTTGGACTCCCGCCACAAGGAAGTGCAGTGAGTGCAGTCACAGTGCAAGGAACATTGTGAAAGGGATTAGAAAGGAAACATACCTCTAAAGATCATGGCAAAAATTACCCCAAAGACCCCAGCTGGTCAGTAAATTACGGTAACAAAAATAGGTGTGTGCAACAAGAGAGTACGAAACAGAAAATAAGAAATGCTAAAACTGAAAAATGCTGGGTTTGACTTACTTTTCCACTGCTCTTAGTTGTTAACATAAACACTTTCAAAATTATTAATAAGACAAAGATAAAGCTGTGCTGATAAGTTCCTGATTTCTCCTCAGGTCACAGTGTTTTTAAATACTGGCAAAGAATCTGAGACCTGCTCCTGAGATCAGTGGAAGTGGATGAGTAGGAGGGTACGACGGAGTCACTCTGCAGGTTGAGAACACAAACGTGTCTTTGTTGAAGCAGTGCAGATATGCAAGCTTCATTTACGTTTCTTTGTGATTACCAGAAAATTGCAACACTTAACCTAAGCTAAAAATGGTTTGCTGCTTTAGCTTTCCAAGTTTAATATCCGTTATAAATGACGCTGCTGATATTTACATGATATTATACATCCCACTCAGTAAATGCAAAGATGCAGCAGAAGTGAACAAAAATGTCCTTTCTGTCCGTTTTCCAGCTGTGGCTAAGGTGTACATAGAAATAAATCAACAGCCAAAGCAGGTGACTGAATATGCTGAATCCATGATCTAAGACCTATGCAGGATGCGCCAAATCAGCTTTTGGTCTCTGAGACAAACTGTGACATGCTGGTGTTTACCAAGATGGTGAATGGAGAGGACTGTGTATTGATTTGAACAAACCATTGTCGTTCACGGTGTGATCTTTACATCTAAGAAAAACACGGTTAGTTCAAATGCAGTAGGGACAAATTATGTTCTTTGCTTGCCTTTATCAAAGCAACTTGAGATAGGCCTGTTCCACAGTGCAGTGAAATCAGTGGCATCTTCTGCTTTTATAAAATAGGACAATTTTGTCTCATGCTAAAATAGAAATTGGTGTTTCTATTTGGAAAACAAATGACACACTTTTCATGAGACATTTTGGAAAGAAGGCTAGACACCTCTGCTTTTATTTATGTTTTTCACTTTTTTTTCTTTTTTTTTTGGTGCCATGCAAGAGCAAAAACCCACACAGTGGAAATTTATTTTCAGTAAAAATCCACTATTCATTTCTCTTCTTCCATTGCAATAGCCAGTTGAAAATGAAAATAAAACCTAAAGTAAGTATATTTAAAGACAACTAGACAATATTAAAGAATTTTTTTTACCTGTTACATTGTTCATTAACAAGATAAATGGTTTTATATAGTATTTGTGTGGGCAACATTGTGCTGGCACTTTACACATCACAGTATGGTTTGGGTTGGAAGGGACCTTAAAGCCCATCCAGTGCCACCCCCCTGCCCCGGGCAGGGCCCCCTTCCCCCAGCCCAGGGGGCTCCCAGCCCCGTCCAACCTGGCCTTGAACCCTTCCAGGGAGGGGGCACCCACAGCTGCTCTGGGCACCCTGGGCCAGCGCCTCATCCCCCGCACAGGGAACAATTTCTGCCTTAGAGCTCATCTAAATCTGCCCTCTGGCAGTTTAAAACCATTACACCTCGTCCCATCCCTACACCCCCTGACCCAGAGCCCCTCCCCCCCTCCCCTGTCCCCCCTTTAAGCCCTGGGAGGCCGCTCGAAGGTCCCCCCGGAGCCTTCTCTTCTCCAGGCTGAACCCCCCCAACTCTCTCAGCCCGGCCCCCCAGGGGAGCTGCTCCAGCCCCCCCAGCATCTCCGTGGCCTCCTCTGGCCCCGCTCGAGCAGCTCCGGGTCCTTCTGCTGTTGGGGGCCCCCGAGCTGGCCCCAGCACTGCAGGGGGGTCTCCCCAGAGCGGAGCAGAGGGGGAGAATCCCCTCCCTGGCCCTGCTGCCCCCCCTGCTCTGGCTGCAGCCCAGGGCACGGGTGGGTTCTGGGCTGCCAGCGCACGGGGCTGCCTCACGGGCAGTTTTCCCCCCACCAACCCCCCCAGTCCCTCTCCTCGGGGCTGCTCTCCAGCCACCCCTCGCCCAGCCTGGGTTTGTGCGGAAGGCTGAGTGGGAAGGGTGGTGGAACACCCACCGCCACGCTTAAGTATCTTCCTGAGGCGGGGATTTTACCCCAGCGCTGCCTATTTTCCCGCTGAGACGGCGCTGCCAGAGGGGCCCCTTCCCGCTAGAGGGGGATGCAGCCAAAGGGCCGAGAGCCTCGCCGGGGGGAGGAGCCCTGGGGCGGCAAAGCGCAGCCGGCCGGCGCCCCCCCTCAGGTTAAAATGGCGCGGGGGGGGGCCGCTCCTGACTCGCCGCCCCACAATGCATAGCGGCCGTCCCCGCCTCCTTCCGCGCTGTAGCCAATCGCCGCCCCCGCTCCACCCGGACTACACTCCCCGGCGTGTCCCGCGGCTCCGCCCGCCGCACCTTTCCGGCTGTCGCGAAAGCTGTCGCGCTGCGCGGCCGGTGGTGGGGCGGGCCGTGCCCGGAGCCGAGCGGCCATGGGCGGCGGGCGGTGAGTCTCGAGCCCCCTCCGCCGCTCCTCCGCCGCCATGGAGGAGGAGAGCATGGAGGAGGAGGAGGAGGCCATGATGGACGACCAGAACCACAACAACTGGGGCGCCGGCGGCGGCGGCGGGTACGGGCGGCACCTGCTGGGCCCCGCCGCCCCGCCGGTCGCTGGCCGCCTCCTGCGCGGCCCTGCCGCCGGGCCCCCCCCCGCCCCGCCGCTCCCGCCGCTGCCCGAGGCCAACGGCGTGCTGCGGGGCTGCGAGCCGCCGAGCAAGGGGGGAGCCGGGGCCATCGCCGCCGCCATCAACATCAACGCCTCGACCTCCAAGTTCCGTGAGTGACACCCCCTCCCTCCCCCCAACCGACAGCGGGGGGGCTTCACCCGCCCCCTCTTCAGCCCCCCTGGTCGCTTCTCCCGCCTGGGCTGGGTACGGGAGGCTCCTCGGAGCGAAATCAAGCGGCTCAAGGCGCCTCCGCGAAGGAGAAAATAACCTTCCTCGCACACCCCCTAACTTCTGCTGCCGCTCTCCTGTCACGGCGCGGCGATGCGGTAGATCTGGCTGTAGAACCGGGAGAGCGAGTGTAGGCAGGGTTTTCGGCTGCACTAGCGCTTTTCCTGAAGCTTTGAGCTCAGGTCGTGTTTTCCTAAAAGGCTTTTTCTTTCTCCCTGAAGAAAGCCAAAGATGAAACCTGTTTGTGGTTGCTGGCGGTGGGTGGCAGCGTGTGGAGCCCCTGGAAGGGGTGTGCTGTCCTGGAAGGGATGCATGTCTACAAAAGCCTGACGAGTCCAACGGAAGATGAGCTTACCAAAAAAGAAAAAAGTTCCAAAACATCTTTTGCATGTAGCTTTTAACAGAAATGACAATTTTTTTCTGTTGCTTTGCTGAGCTAAGGTTGAGGGAGGGGAAGATTTTTTTGCTGTTCATGTCACTTTTATTTCTAGAAGTCGTGCCTCTGAGCAAAATACACCCTTTTCTTGAATGGCAGTCAGAGAACTTGGATTTGGCTAGTTAAAAGTATTCCCGGAAGTATAACTGCCATGATGAAATTTTGATGGGAAATGTGCTTTTTTTTCTTTTTCCTCAATGCTAGCTCATTTGTCCAGCTCCTCAGCAGCTCAGCTCCGGAGCTGATCCGGAGCTTGAAGTTCAGGCTTCTGGATCCCTGCTTCTCTGGTAGCCTGGGTTTCACGGCTCTAGGCACATTGCCAAGGCTGGCTGCTTTGAAGTTGAGGCTCCCAGACTCCATGAGCTCCCTGGCTCTCTGCCTACCTTGCTTGTCAGGGCTCTAGGTACCTTGGGGTGGCTCGTAAACACTTGAGACAATCAAAATGAAATGTCATTTGGCCTTGCTAAACTAAGCTCTTGTATACCCAATCCAGAAATTCAGAGTCTTAGTTTTTCCTTCTGTTTCAGAATGAAAATGAATTTTGGGTTGGATCTTCACCAAATGGGACGGTCACTTTCTTTCCAGCGAATCTGCAGTTTATGTCTGAGGGGGAGAAGTGCCAGTACATGATTTTGCTTAGGGTGTGGTTTCTCAGTTCTTGTTTTCACTTCTCCAGCATTGGTATCCCAACACAGTATCTGTCTTACTGATGTTAACAGTTGTTTTAAAGAAGATTAAGATATCAGTAAAATATAAAATTCTCTTGAGTTAAGTTCATTAGAACTTTTCTGCACCTTTGTGTTGTGGATAATTTTTGCGATATGTGTATATGAACAGAACAAGTTCAGTGAAGTAGTGTGGACTGAGAAAGTACAGGGGCTGAGTTGGGATCCTGCCTGTCCTAATCCTGGCTCTGGCAGAGGATCCCTTAAATTCCTCTGTTTAATTTTCATATATAGAAAAAAGGAGAAAGGTCACTTTCAGTGTAAATGTACAATGAAAAGGAAGTGTGTGCTAGGTGCCTTCCTGCCTGCTCTGTCCTAGCAGTGGCAGAACACTCATAGGGAAGCTGATTGTCAGTCTTAAGCTTGATAGGAAAGTTGTCTGTTCTCTGCTGCATGAAGAGCTTCTTGCAGTTGAATGAGCAAGGACTCGTGCCTTGCTTGATTCATGATGCAGAGGCTTAATCTTAGACAGGTTATCCTACAGGTGACCATCAGAAATGTGACATAGTTTCCAACAGTCTTATGGTAAGGTGGAGTGCCTGTGACATTAAGAGGAGTCTCTCCCTCCTGGTTCTTTCCTCCAAAACAAACAAAAAAAAAATCAATGCCATGTTTCAATACATAGTTACTTTCAGAATGTTAGGTTTCTTCATGTTCATGGTTGCAGACTAAAGCTGTCTGGTGGGCTTTTTTTAGTCTAGTTCAGCAGGCAGAATAATGGAGGAAGAAGGTTAGGTGGAAGTCCTTTAAGATCGTTCTGAGGGGTCAAACCCCATTCTCCTTCCGTGAGACTGAGAACTGAAAGCAGATATAATAATGTGTCATTCATTTAATAGCTTTTCTTCTAGTTAAAACACCTTAAGAAAAATTTCCATGTTTTGGTAAACTTATAACTAAACATTTGTTTACGGTTCATCACATTTAAGCTTCAGTCACAGTTATGGATTTCTAAAGCAATAGCGTTATGAAAAATATTTTTCAAAAGCCGTAAGGGAGAAAGTAAGAGTTAGAGCTTTAATACTTAAAGCAAAACTCTTTTGTACTAGTAATTGCAGTGTATCTGAATTATGAAGAAAATGAGGAGGTTTCCTTCCTGTATTTTTTCATCCTTTTCAAGCAGGGATGATTATAAATGTGTTTGGTGCCAGTCCCATTTAGGATGGGCACATGTGGCTGTGAGCGTTGGCATATCCATTAAATCTGTTGGTTACCCTGTTGCATAACAGAGTTCGGTGCAGTGTATGCGCTTTGCTGCATAGACAAATTGTCTGAAAAAGGAAAAGTTTAACATTATTTTTACTTAATGCAGTCTTAATGCAGATGGAGAAACATGCAATAAAAATAGAATGGGCTTGAAAGCAACTACAGGGCGCACACATAAACTTGCTAATGTATGCTAGGATGTGTTAGGCAGGGTGTATAGCAAAATCTATTGTGTAAACATGCTCATGATGGCTGAGAAAAAGGAAAGTGTAGAGTCACAGCGATAGCTACAAGTCTGTAGATTTGTCTCAGACATCTGCTGGAAGAGTTTGTACACTTTGACAAAATATTTTAGGAATGTAGGGTGCATTGCTAATTAAGCAGTAAAGCTTCATATGTGTCACTTTGTGAGTTGAAATAAAGCTGCTGAAAGATGCCTAGATGATTGCTTTAATATTTATTGTCAGAATAAATGACATTTAATTGTCAGATCGATGTCTGCTTGCTTGATGGTTGGATTACCTGCCCTGTTCCCCTGCTTTTTTAGCTATAGTTTAAAGGAACAATGTTTTATATATCTGAATGTAGTAAGCGTTTTGAGTAGCTTTTCAGGTTGTCTCATCTAAATAACACAGCCTACACTATCTATTTTTTTTTTTTTAACTTATTATTCTATTCATGTTCCATGACTTTTACTATTCCAGCATCTTTTTTGAGCTATGTGTGTTTGTAAGGTTTTTTTTTTTTTTTAATCAGTTTCATCTGGGGATATATACCTACTCTTGGACTTTTAAAAAATCGTAGTGTTTTTTGACATTCTTCTGATTGAAGTTGATACTAAAGAACTTGGTAGCTTGGAGCAGGCTATGTTTCAGTTATGGCTATGATACTGAAATATCTAGGTTATGGTATGAAGCTCATATTCTTTTTCACTTAAATGGTTTCACTCCTGCATTTGACTTAAAGGAGTTTTTCTGTATATGGAAAAGCAGAAGTTGCTTCTCAAGCTTTACCTGTGAAGTCTTTGATAATTTGCTGGAAAACATTGGTTTCCTTTCCATTTGATCAGACTGATTTCTCAGCCCCACCCCGTGTCACTTCCCAGAAACTTAATAAATCTCAATGAAATTAAAGTTATTTTATAGTATCAACCTTTCCTTGTGATTTGGACAAATCCTTTTAAATCTTGAATACCTAGTATAGGGATAAACATTAAAGAATGACATTCTGAAAAGATGGAAAAGTGAAAAATTTAAAGAAGTTTCTAAAAGGGCAATCTGTCTTTTCTTTCCAGGAATTTGTGTGATTCTTCTTCCTGGTCTTGAGATTGTTCTTGCAGAGTTTGTAATTGGAGGGTGCTACTTTAAGTCATCCTTCATGTGTGTAACAGTTACTAAAATTTTAAAGTAAATTGATTTCTGGGTTAGAAGAATAAAAATAGTGATTGTTCAGTGTGTAGTCTTTAGACTCTTAACTATATAAATATTATGGTTGGCTTAGTTTCAGAACTAAAATATGAAAATCAGATTAAATAATACTTCTGAGAGTCTTTTGAATAAAAATGAAGCTTTTCTAGAATGTTACTTTGAATTCATCAGTGATTCCTATGCAAGTCTCAAGGGGCTGTTTGTAATAGCATTTTGTCCTTTACCTGTGCAGCACTTCTAATGGACAGGCCTTCCTGTTTGCTGCTACTTTCTCTTAACATATTGTAAAAAAAAAAAATAAATTGACACATCAACAGCCCGTTAAAAAAAAATAATTTGCAGTGTTCTCAATTCTTAGTTGCCTATTTTCTTTCAAATGAACAGAGCTCATTTAATATGTTAAACCAGATGTGGGTGTGATTATACATTGACATCTTAAGACTTTGGTCTAATACTTATGCAGACTTCAGTTTAATGTTTTCTGTAGAACAGAGCAGTTCTGTGGAGACCCACCTTTTTTGGGGTAACACAGTGAAAGGCAAATGCTCAAGTTTTACTGTTGAGTGTAAGGGTGAATAGTGAAGCTACTACATGGAAGCTGCTCCTGAGAACATCTGCCCGGAGCCTGGGCTCTGTAAGGGACGAGAACTGAATCAAGTCATTGCAGGACAGACGAATAAGGGGTGACATTGCTGTCAGGCAGGTGCTGGGCTGTTCCTGACTGCGTGGATGCTTTTGCATCGTGGGCCTGACTTGCTGGACGTGTTACCTTACGTTTTGGTACTTCTGTACGTGGATCCATAACCTTTATCAACTTGTTAGCCAACGGTGTTGTACTTTCAGATTGCTGGCTGGAGTGTTGAGGCAGCATCCTGCAGCATTTGGTGGTGGTGACCTGTTCACTAATCAGACATATACTGTGTTAACTAGGTCCATTTCTGTAGCAGATATGGAGCACAAGTGTACCCATGGCTAGTTGGGTGAAGAGTGGGCTAGGAGTACTGCACTAATATTCCTCACTAAGCAAGGTTTCTGGCTGAAATACCCTAAAAAGACACATGACAGGAATCTAATACCTGCTCTTACAGATTGTGTTCGAACACGTTCTTGTCTCACACCTCTCTGTATTCCATGTTCTCTTTATACTCTTCTTTTCTTGTGATAACTGTTAACAGTTTTGCTGTATTTCCCTAGAATTTTTCATTGTAATGCTGCCAAAAGTGGCTTACCCAGCTCCTTTCAACCCCTTGTGAAAATAACATTAAAGAAATCTTGCTCCTCAAACCCATTAGTGAATCTACATTTACCCATGTATTTAAAATGCAGCCCTATTCAAAGTATTTCTTTTCAGTGCGATGTCTAAACTGAATTGTTTGGGGTGGGAACTGTCTTTATTCTCTGTTTCACATAGCCCACATGTACATGTGGAATTCCAATGAAGAAATTACTTTAGATTTCCTGGACTGGATAGTTTTGATATGAAGTATACCCTATGCTGTTAGTTACTGGGGGGCTTTGTTTTGAGTGGCTGCTGTGCTGCTGTGAAGCTATGATGGTGTGACGAGGCAGTGAGGTAATCCTGCAAATGTGTCTCTGAAGAGAAGGTGCTAACCCTTCTACCCTGGCTGCTGTTGGAACCAAGTCACGTGTGGTTAGTTTGTAAATCCTCCCAGAAAAGAGAGAGATTAGAACTCTTCAGTGTCTGTGAAGGCACGCTGAGCGGCTCGCGCAAGAGGGTGCAGTTGGGAGGCTTGGGAGGAAAATCAGAGAGTGATGGGGAACGCTAATTTAAACGCCTCCTATTCTTCCCTGTGTTGATTCTTATCTGGAAAAGGAGTAATACTGTGGCTGCTTCAGGGGGAACTGTAATATGGATCCAAAAAAGTTGCCCGGGAGCCTAACTGCAATTGAAGGCAGAGAGAATTGCATCAGCTTTTAGGCCAAGGATGCTGCTGGTCTCACCTGAGACTTGTAAAATTTATACATCTGCTGGGAAGGAGTATTCAGAAAACTACCGGGTCTCGACCAAGACTTGTTCACCTGCATGTGAGGACATAGTATTAATTGTTGATTCTGGACTCACACAAAGTTGTGTAATTTATTAATCTGAAATAACTACTGGTTTGGGTTTTTTTCCCCAATTTTAAAAATTATTTTTAAAAATTATTATATTGTCATGCTATAACTCACAGGAGTTTGATTTTTTCCCTGCTACTTGGGCCCCTAAGAAATATCCAAGCACTGCTTTGTCAAGTTTTCTAATTTTATTTTATTTTCTGTAAATAAAAAGGTCCAAATTCAAGTCTGGGCTTGAATTTTTAGTTTTAGAAGAGGTTATCTTAGTGGAAGTGAACTATTTCCATGTTAATTTTGGCCAGTTTATTGGTGTGATCTGAAATTGCAGAATATTTGCTTGCTTCTAATCTTTTAGCTGAAGTTACTAAATGTAGTTTTGTCTTCTTCTTGTAGTAATGAATGTTATAACAATTGAAGACTATAAGAGCACATATTGGCCAAAGTTGGACAGTGCCATAGATCAGCTTTTAACTCAGAGTCCTGGTGACTACATCCCTATCTCCTATGAACAAATATACAGGTAAGGAAATATTTTGTTGTTTTTTTTTTTTTTTTTTTTTTTAAGTTTAATGTTTATTTTATCTTGCAGCCTATGCATCTGTTATAATTTCTGTTTATGAGGAAGATGGGAAGGTTATGTGTAGTACGATATTTTTAAATGGTTGGAATGAGTGAGTGAATAATAGATACGTATCTTGACATCCCATGTTAATAGGAATAAATGCTAAAGAATTAAAATGCATAAGAGCTGAAGACATTAGCTCTAAAGTAAGTAGCTTAGTGTAATGTTAAGAAATGTATTAGTCTTAACATCCCTTTCCTCAAAGGGGAAGAAGAGAGTGGCATGGTAGGTGTTTGACTTAGTATTTCAGCAGGCTTCTTTATCATGTCTAGTAGGAACCAGTTTGGTGCAGTGGAGGTTCAGAAGTACATGAAGGTGCCAAGGTCCATCCATATAAACTGTCATTTGTGTGTTTTGCATCAGGTAGATTTGTTCCAATTTCCCCCTTGCCCAGCTGTCCTGCTGCATGTGCAGTTAGAGGCTGTCTGAAGGGCTGACACAAGGCTCAGTCCTTTATTTCTCCATCCTTGTCTGGCGAATATTTGATTTGTACAGGGCCTAAAGCTGGAGTTTACTTTAAAAGGGATCAAGTCACACACCAAAACTGCCCTGCAGACTAAGCGAGTGCACAGTAGTGGGGATGGAAGGGGATTTGCTTCAAAATCACAAAATGCTGCTCCAAATCAAAATGCTAAATGCTTTGGAGACCTGATAGTTTCTTAAGAGACTGACTAAAGGAGAGATTTTTGTTCTGTAGGTGACAGGTATCCAAGGTGCTGGTAAATAGGGTGGAAACTGGGTAGCTGCTGCTGCATTTACTGGCCAAAATGCTGTTAGAACTACTGGCCCTTGCCAGCAAATCTAGTAGCACTGCTGTCTTGGTTTTCTTTACCATAGTGTTGCACTCTGAGATAACACTGGCAGTTCAGTCCCCGAGTGCTATTTTTAGAGACTTTTGGCTCAATTGTCTCTTGCCCACTTGCTTTTAGCCACTTTGTCTCTCCAGTTTGAAACTTTGGATTAGGGAACCAGATGCAAGAATGGCAGATGTTTAGTCTTCCCTCTTAACTCCAGCTAAAAACATGAATAAATTTCTTCTTTCCTGCCCAAACTTTTGGAACTGCTGTTATCAGGACTCACACATCAGCATGTGCATCAATAATTAAGATGGTAAGTTTGAATTGAGACACGTTTTGCAGCTTTAGTGTAAGTAATCAAAATCCTTTTTTGTAGCTAGAGAGCCCCAATGTGCAAACAGCCATCAGTAAGAGTTAAGACATCTCCCCATAGTTATCTCTGATAAAGAGTAGGAGTGCAGAATTAATACTTTAGTACCTAGAGTAGATCTGCACCTAGTTACGGTTTTCAGATAACTGCGGTTTATCTTTGCCATCTTTTTACTGCTCAAAAGTTTTAATTATTAAAGGAATAATGGGGTTTAAGTTTCCTGTAGACAATCCTTATATATCAGGGTGACACTTGATGCAGTATTGTAATGATGCACAGATGTCTCTTGCATGCATTTTACCAAAACAAAAGATTGTCTGTAGTTTAGTGTTACTGATAAAGCTAGTGTGCTGTTTTTTTAAGTCTTTCTTTTAAAAATTATGTCTGTGGATGTAATTACTCTGACACAGCCTCTTCCAACAAGGAGTTGTGTTCCTTAATTTTATTTTAGAAGGTGTCCCTTTGCTTGGTTTATGAACTAGACAACACAGATTGTGGATGGAAGAAAAACTGCATTTTTGTTGAATTTAACGATGCTTACTTAGAGTATTACAGAAAGTCTGTAGCAGTCTTGAGGTTTAGATCCTTTCTGCTTCCCTAGGCTAGCTCCTTAGTGTGAAAATGGGGTGTTTTCTGAGGTGGATCAAACAGCTGTGCATCTTTATGTTTTTTACAGTGAAACTGAGCTGAAAATACAGTGGTCTTTTTGATCATCTTTAGGCTGGCTAAAGGAATCAAGGTTTCCATAATGCAAACTTAAAATATATTATTAGATCCCCATACTACTATATTTGACATGATCAGTGATAACTGTCGTTGTCTCCCTCACAGCAGTGAAAGCGGGGAGATAGCTTCAAAGGTGTGTATACAGATACTTACTATGGATCAGTTTACCCATAAGGTATCAAAGTGTGATTAGTGACTGTTTCCATCTTTGACTCCAAAGCCTGCCTGTGCATAATCACTTCCCATTAAAAGGATTAATCATATTGACAGAGAGATGTGAACTTTGAGATGAGGAAAATGTGAGCAGTTAAGTTGTACTCCTGGCAACTGTTACAGCTGCCTCCCAGGTACAATGAAATTAGATCGCTGCTCTTCAAGACAGCCTACAGAGCTCAGGTCTTCATCCCTCGCAAAAAATGCTTACTTTCTAATGTCCTGCTGGGGTTTTCCTTTTCCTAAGGTGTTTGGTTAGCTAAAGGACTAACAAGCTGCTGACTTCTTTTGGGTAATAATAGCAGGGAAAGGATGATTCACAGAATCAGCCCACAGTCAGGAACTGAAAACAGGATCTGAAAATGGGGAAGGAACCTCTAAATAGAAGCGTTGAAATAAAATGTAAACACACTGTGCACCTACATGGGAAGATTGGTGTTTGACCACAGAAGGTGTTGCAGAAGTGGGTATAGCAATATTGTACTAACGCTAAGCAGATGTGTACTTTAAAATTCAGTGTAGTTACATTGTTGCAAATGAAGCCCTCAACTTGTAGAAGTGGCTATAATACTGTTTTGATATGGAGCAAACAAACATATGGACGTTTGCTGTTGTTACCTAGCTGGCTGGTTTGTAAAATATCACAAAAATCAGTCTGGTTTTTACCAGTGTTTTTCTCTCTGATCCAAATTAAATTGATATTTTGGCTGTTATTGCATCATACCAAAATGTCTTTTACACTTGCATGTTCCAAAACAGGATCCGCTTTTGATAGAATTCATGTGAAAGAAACAAGATGACCTTGACTGTTACTTAAATAATGCCAAGATACAGACACTCAATTATTTTTAAAATAGAGTAGTAGAGGTGTGGTGTGTCTTTTGGTTTTTAAGAAATAGCATAGTTTCCCAAGTGAGCAGACTTTGCATAGGGTTGAATACTGTACTTTTGGGGCTTTTGAAGTTGTCAAAGGGAATAAATAAGCTTTGGAAAGTTACTAATAATTCACTTCTAAAACCTTCCTCCAGAAGACTTTGAGGGTGGCAGTTATTGAGTGAGTTTGCTGTCCTGGTCCCTGAAGGCTTGGAGTTGGTGCCTAACCTCTCACTTGCATTAGAAAATTCCAGTGGCCCATACTCTACAGTTGTTTTAATCCCGTTTTTGCAGTTTGTCATCGTACCACCTTCTCAGCAGAGACTTAGAGTGTCATCATTCCCCTACAGAGACACAGTGTTGCTGTACCATAGCGTTAGGCTTTTGGTGCTATTAAAAATCTGCAGATTCAGGTCTGGGATCTGGACCTTGCTAGTTTGTTTGCGCATGTCCTAAGGAGCAGTTTCTGGCCTAATTTGCTTGCTGTCACACAACTCTGTACTCCATACAGAGGGATGGAGGGAGAGAGGATCAGAACAGAGGTATAAGGAGGGGATTTGGCTTGCCCAAGCTACCAGGTGAAGTCTTCCTTGTGCTTCTTTGTTCTGAAAACTAGCTGACAAAAATCCTGAATTCAGTGAATGAAAGCATTCAAGAAAAGTAAAAGCTGCTTGGTACAGATAATGTTGGTGTTAGTCCTGACTGATGACTACCTTAATGTAACTACTTGCTGAACGTAATATATGTATGTGTTTTACAGCTGTGGTAAATATGTTTTCAATACGTAGCCTTACTTTGCAGATATGTTACATTGCAGTATGAGAACAATAAAATGTTATTAAAAAAACAAAGGTAACACTGAAGACCAGAGTTAATACAGCTAAACCATGGAATGTAGAATTAAAGTTTTGTCACTCTTTCTCTGCATCTTTGTTTATTATGAAAATGTAGGGTTTTTTTTAGCATTTAAGTAACAAAGAATGGAGTAACGTGCTTGGGTCTGTAATTTTAGAACTTTGCTGTTTCTTTTTAAAATGCCAGCACAGTTTTGGTGCAACTTCCATGACCGCTTGTCAGCGTTGCCCTTCTTTTTAAAAGGGTTCTGTCCTAGAATATGCATATACTCCTTAAACCTGCTTATTTTAATAGAGGCTTCATTCACATAGGAGAGACAAAAGCCAGAATTAGGAGTGAGCTGTTGACAGAGTTATCATGAGTGTTCTGAAGTGGACTGGTCTGAGAACTTGTGAATTAAGTGAGGTCGGGGAGGGGGAATGGAACGGACACACTGGGGCCTCCAGGGGAGATTTAATAGTCTGCTAGAGCTCATTCCAAGCTTAGGGCTGTAATCATTCAATTAACTCTTATGATTCTCTAAATTGAGACTTGAACAAAATATTTTGAAGTCTGTTGCCCTTCATTGCAAACTGTTGTAAGTTCATTGTTTGTTCCTATATTTGTTTCTGCAGTTGTGTGTATAAGTGTGTATGCCAGCAGCATTCGGAACAGATGTATAGTGACCTAATAAAAAAGATAACTAACCACTTAGAGAGAGTCTCAAAGGAGCTGCAGGTAAGAAGCTGCACAATCTAATTCTGTCTTTCCTGGGATCTATGATTTTATCAGAGCAGCATGTAGATGGCCCATGGAGGGGATCGCCATTAAGACCAATTTACACTAGCTTCCTAAATTGTGGACTACTTAATTCGCTAAATGGCTGTCACACAGAATACCAAATACTAGATCCAATTGTATGGCACTGATCAGCCTTAGAGATCTGAACCATGTGGAGAGCAGTGGCTAGACTTGAATATGTAATATAGAATCAAAGATGAGAGTACGGGAAATCTACAGTATAATCTAGGATGTGAATGCTTCAGTCAAACATGATCTGAGCACATGACATGGATGTCTGCCATTGCTGTGTTAATCTACATAAACAGTTTATGGTCCTTGTGCATCACAAGCAGCACAAAAGGGAAAATGTGAAGTTAGAAATTGAATTAAATATGAATTATGAAGTATAAATTAAGATTTATTGCATATGAAAGTTTTGTGCTACACTTTATTCTGCATTTTTCTTGTCTATCTCTAGATGTCAGTGGTTTACAGCAGTCCTAATACAGTTTGTATATCCTTACCCTCTGCATCTTTTTTGTGCATCCGTATTTGTTTTCCTGTGTGTTCCTTGTTGAAAATTCCTTTTAGGCTAGAATCTCCAGGCATGTTCTTGAAATTCATTTCTGTAGCAGCAATGCTTTTATTTCCCTACAGCTTTTGTTGCTTCCATAACCAATATTTGAGTTCTGTACTGACTTGCAGTGCATCAGGATGCCAGATACAAAGGAACCCTAAACTACAGCAGCTCCTTCAGTGCTTCTAATAATCAATGACTAATTTCTGTCAGTTAAAAGCAGTCTTACTACTTTTAACTGCATCAGGTACTTCTGGCTAAGCGTGTATTTCCATCAAAATATATAGCACTGTGATCGATCTGTCCTCCTTGTTTCACTCTTTTCCTCTTGTTGCTTTTTTTACAAAGAAAAATAACCATGCTGCATTTAACAGGCATGGTCTTTGGGGCAATCTTTGCCTATAAAATTTCTAGGTCGTCTTGAGCTATGTTTTTTGCTTCTTTTCTCTTTTACAATTTCTTTATTCCTTGTGGAATGACAGCCTCACTGTTCTGTAAAAATTGGTTAGAGTAGATGATAGTACAGTATTTAAAATAAAACTTTCCCTTGGTTCTGCTGAGCTGGTGCAGCCTGTACTTTTTTCTTCTGCTTGTGAGAACTACGAATCAGTGCAGCTGTACAGGTTTGGCCAGTTCTGATACATCCCACAGTAGTGTACTGCGTTACTTTGCTTTGAATTTGGGAATACCCCAGATTCTACACTCTGTGGCAGTCTGTGATTGTTGCCTCTAAAGTTCCAAAACTGACTGAGGCATCTGCTTTTAAAGTTTGCTTTAGCACTTAAGTGCATTAAATGCTTCTGTGTAAAAACAAAGCTGCCTTCTGAACATCACCTGTTGAAAGAATAATTGAGACAACTATTTAATGCAATCATTGTCTTGCAAAAATTTCCTTATGTAGGTTAGACACACCTTGTGGCAGGTGGCAAGAGGACTGTAATATAACATGATACCATCTTTGAGTGTATTACGTCAGTTTTGTCTGACACGAACATGATTTTAGTTTTTGATGTTAAATCCATCTTTTTGAGCTGCTTGAAGTAAAACTCACGTGCCTTAGAAAATTGTCGTGTAAAGAAACTGTCTTAACTGGGGTTGTGAAATATACTCTTAAGAAATTAATACAATATAGTTTATTATCCTGATGCTGCTTTGATCTTAACACATCTTGGTGACACTCAGTCACTTGGGTTTTAAGTTGAAAACGTGGTGCTAGATCTTTACCCTAGCAACAGCAACAAATTGTAGATGTTGGTCACTTGTAAGTTTTTGGTTCACACAGGCAAACAATAAAAACCCCCTCTATATATGTGAATTCCTTTAATGCACAATATATTGTGTTTTGTTTTCTCTGACATAAGCTCATTCTACCTGCCAACAATATTTAATCTAATTGCAGAGTTCTGTTGAATTGGCAAGCTGTGACTTGGTGCAAGATAATTTTATTATTTTTTTTTTTACATGCAGAGATGCAAATGTAGCCCAATATAAGCAGGAATTTTGGTTTGTGTGAGAAGGCAGGTGATCATGAAAACTGAAATGGCAGGCAAATGCACTGTCTTATTATGGACAAGCCAAGCAACTTCTTTGCGTGGAAGCGCAACAGTTTAATGGCAAGTGGATTGCAGAATATCTGCATGTAACCAACATGCCAGAGCAAGCTGTTTCCTACAAGAACAGCTCATCAACAGTAAGTGCAGTAAAACAGTGAGATACCAAATAGTAAAACTGGGTACATCTCAGGGGACCAGTCAGACTTGCCCTTACATCATTTTAACTTTAGTGCAGTTTGTAGTCCTTCTGCGTGGCATTGACTGCAGAAATTCCCTGTATTTTTTTTTTTTTTTGTATTTCTCCCCCCTTATGCTTAGACTTTAGCTTGACTGACCAGCTGGACTCAGCTGAAGTCAGCGGAGTGGCGGGCACTGGAGTGTCCTGAGCTGGGTGTCTCAGGTGCTGCTGCTGGGGCCCCACTGTCACACAGGGACATGCACACACTCCCTGGTCATCCCCTGTGTGACTTCTGCTTTTTCCAGACTGCAGGACACCTCGTATGGCCTTGGTGTTTGTCACCACATGCACTCCTGAAGGTCTGCTTCACAGGTTTGTACCTAAAGAAAAGATAAACAAAAAAAAAAATTTCAGTGGTGCCAGAGGCATTATAAAAATATGGGTGGGCTGATGTATTCTCTGCAAGATAGACATAGGGTGAAAAGCAGTGAATGTTGCCTGTTGAGTAGTACTACATTTAGATTATATGAACTGCTTGTCATCAGAGCATCAGCTCTTTGATATGGGGCCTCCTATATTCCAAGACATCTTATCTCCCTCCTTACTATGTGTGTAAGTAAATGATCCTCTCTTCAGGCTGTTTCAGTTATGGAAAGACTCTGAGCAAGGATTGCCTTCCTTTCTTGCAATCAGTGTCTAACCAACTTCTCTGCATTTGTAAGACTGAATTTTGCTATGTAGAGCTTCCAGTAATTAAATTTCTGTAATTCTTGAGTTGATTAGAATTTGGGATTTTCTGTGTGTTTTTTTTAAAAAAAAAATGCGACTGCAGAAAACACAAATTAACCTGTTCCCTGTTGTCTTGAGGTTTGTGAAGTCCATAGTAGACAGATTATTTTTCCAAGATGCTTTATTTGGAAACATTTTATTGGTAATGCACATAGCCCTTTACGTTGTGGTTTAAAGTAGTGACAGCTGTTTTTGTGGGTAAGTGCTGAGTCATTCATATGTATGAGGCAGTGTGGATACACAGATATATGCTTTCAAATTAAATACATCTCTTTTAAAAATGAATAAAACTATATTTGCATTAGGCACTAGTGTTTCTGGCTTAGTTTATGCACTCTGATAAATTAATTTAAAATCAAGTACTCTGCCCATTACATATCTCTTTAGCAGAAGACACTGCAAAGTACTTTAAACATTGACAATCAAAATGCACTGAGGCACTGAGCTGGCCAGTGACATAAGTAGCTTTTTTTTGTTGTGCAAGTGCAGTGGAATATTTTTATTTTAGTTAGAATAATCTCAGTAATTCTTGTAGGAGATGACTGAGCTGAAAAGCAGTTCTTTATGTTCACCTTGTTTTTATTTAGAGAAGAGAGAAAAACGGATCTATTGTTTTCTGTGTGTGTAGGTGGTTTGGGTTTTTTTTTTTTTTGGCTTGACCAGAAACAGTTGCATTCACTAACTGTATGAAATTTTTATGTTCATTGAAGTTAATAAGTGAGAATCAGTCTTTCTCTGAATAAATAAACACTGGTTCAGTTGCATTGTTTCTATTTTAAATCAAACAGAAGTGGTAGAACTAAAACATCAGAATTTTTTTTGCTTAAATTCCATCTGTCTAAAAGCATCAGATTAAATTTGGAGCCAATTGTTGATAGCATACTTTGGCTCCTGAACACTCCAGAGGGCTTTGGGTTTTTGTCCTCTATCATGTCTTGAGATATGTATGAATGTGTGTGTGTGGTTTTTTTTTTTATTATGAACAATATATTTTTTCTTTTTATAATGAGCGTGACTGAACTGAGCAGTCACTGGTGTTGGTAGATAATTTGCATGGCTGCTGTGTGGCCCCCAGAACCTGCAGATTTAGGGTCTTCACTATGCAGTGCCAGAAAACTTTCCTGCCTCATATTAATCTTTACAACTACTCAGCCTTCTGTCTTGTCAGCTCTCAAACAGTCAGTGCAGTGTATGAAAACATCTTCTCACCTATTGTTTCCTTGGAAGGATGTGCACTGGAGTCAGGTTACTATAAGAGCCATTCTGCTATTTTGAGGACTGTTACGTCTCTGGAAACTGAGTGCCTTCTATCATGTCACTGTCAGGTGCCATCTGTTCTTAAAAATGTCAGCAATATCTGTTGTGGACAATCTGTTCTTTCCTTGCCTTTTCCTTTCTTCTTTCATGTCTCATATTTACCTTGCACTTGTCCCCTGTGATTATATGGTATTTTGCCATCCAGTGGTGAGGAGCTTGCTATCTCCTGCTCCATTTTTTTCTGAAACTCTAACCTGATAAATACAGGTGCCTTACTCCAAACTTCAGATTAGGTTCTGAACTTTGTTATTTGTCTTTTAGAAACACTTGTGTAACTTTCATTGTTTCTCCCAATTACAGGAGTAAAAGCATGAAGCTTAAGTGGCTTGTCACATTTACCTTGTGAGCTTTGCATATAGTCAGGGTGGTGTAAAATTGCATCCAAGTAGTGGTTTGAGTGACTAGTAAAACTGAACTTCTGACTGTGAGCAGAGTGGTGTATTAGGCACTACATCATAATACTTCTTGATATTATACTTTAATGTAATATTACCCTAGATTGTTTTCTTAGATATATTTTGCTTTTCTTCTGAGGCACACT